ATTCTAGACGTGGTTTTGCGCAAGAAACCCCCGATTGCCATTTTTGTGATCGGGGCTTTTTTGCGCAAAACAATACCGCATTGTCTACACTGGCCCTCTTGCGCAAAAGCATTTGCACAAGAGGGCTTTTGCCCGAACAGGAGCAGCACAGCATTTCCACAAGAACACTGACAATCTTACATGAGATCGTCAGTGTTCTTGCGGAAATTCAAGCGTCCAGTGTAGACAGCTGGCAAGTTTTTCCGCAAAAGCAGTTGCTTTTGTGGAAAAACTTGCCAGTCTAGACGCAGCCAGAGGGAGCTCTCCCCCCACCCTGGGTAAGTAGTGCTGCTCCACAGCTCCTCCTGCTCCTTCGCTGGTGTTCTGCTTTTCCACCCCCAGGGTATGTCTACACTACCCTCCTAGTTCGAACTACCTAGGAAACGAGGTGCACCCTAGTCCGAACTACCTAGTTCGAGCCCCGTGTAGCCGCGCTACACGGGGTTCGAAGCAGCGGGGATTTAAAAATGGCGGCTCCCCGCTTATGCTAATGAAGCCTGGGAAATTCAAATCCCGGGCTTCATTAGCAAGTGCGGTATGCCTACATTACCCCGCTAGTCTGCTTTTCCACCCCCAGCTACTTCTCTAGTCCAAACTCTTCTTGGAGGTAATTAAGTATTGCCCTGCAGACCCCACTGACCTACTGTCTGGTGAGGGTCCCTTTGCACTGTCCTCTTGTCACCCAAACAGCAAGAGTCTTCTGCCTCCTGTCTGTAGAGGGCTCCTTCTGTGTGGTACAGCTGGCCCTCAGCCAGTCACAGTCTGCTTCTCTGCTGGATGCCTGGCTCTTATCCAGCCTACTGCTTGCAGCTCTCAGGCTGTCTGCTATCTCTGAAGCCAACCTCAAGCTGGCTCTGGCTTGCTGCTCCATTCTCACACATGCACACCTATGTGACTCTCTCTGAGCATGATCCCTGGCCCTCTGGAGGTCAGGTCTGTTATCAGTCTGCTAAGCATTCAGGACCCTTCTATTGGCTAGATCACGGGTGGGCCATACTCTGTGTGTAGCTCACCAGGGTTAGCCTCAGCAGGCTGCCAGTACTTCATTTACCTGCACCTCTACAGGTACGGCCACTTGCAGCTCCCATTGCCAGCAGATCAGTGGTCAATGGGAGCTGTTGCCACCACACATCTTGGTCTGCGCCATTTCCTGCAACACACAGCTCCCATTGCCAGCAAATCAGTGGCCAATGGGAGCTGTTGCCACCACGCATCTTGGTCTGCGCCATTTCCTGCAACACCCATTGGCTGGGAATGGCTAACCATGGCAAACAGGAACTGCAAGCAGCTGCACGGGCAAATAAAGCACCGGTAACCCACCAGGGGCTAACCCTGGCGAACCACATCCAGCCAGTGGGCTGGTTACTGCCCACCACTGGGTTAGATGCTAACCTGGATGCCTTTTGTTTATGGCAAACCATAATGAAACAAGCGCTTTCTGCTGGCCTGAGCCAAGACAAGACTGCAGTTTCTATTTGCACTTGCTCACTCCAGCTAGAGACAGGAAGTGAAGTATTTGCCTCAAGAAAATAACACAGTTTTAACAACCAAACTCTGAATTCCCTCCAAAGCACTCTGCATACAGTGTCTGAGTGATCAGAGTGCCTTGCCGGTGGGGTGGGTTCAGGATTAATCAAAAGGGAAACACTATATGACAAATGATCTATGTATTAGTTTCCTTCCTTGACTGGAGGATGTTGCACCTTGTGTACTGTTGCCCTGGGCCCTGGCCCATCTTGCTGAAGGATAGCTGTATCTCTGTCATATGTGGTATTTGAGAGAGAGGATCTGACTGAAAGACACCAGGGAGAAGCAGAGATGTGAGGGATTAACACTTTATTCTCTAGCCATGTTTCAGTGTATCTAGTCTATATTACATCAAAGTGGGGCATCCAGGAGCAGCAGGAAAGGAGAGGGGGTGCTACTTTGTTCTCCTCCCAGAGTCACAGTCCAGGAGGGTTGGCCACAAGAAAATCCCCTGGTGGCCACATGTGGCCATGGAGGCCGCATTTGAGAAACGCTGCCCTAGCTTACTGATAGAGAATTAATTTTGCACACTAAAAATCTAACTCCTTGTTCATGAGTATTATCACTTGCTGCCCATGCATGATGTCACTTCCTGCCACCAGGGCTTCTGGGTCCTTCCCCTGTGTGGCAGAAGGTGGTTTTAGTGATTTTGTAGGCAGACCTACCTTTGTAGGTTTGGCCTGATATGTCGAGACTAAATAGGCTCAGAGATTAATGATGAAGATCCTTCTGCCCAAATGTTACTTCCTCTGTGGCATTTTTTTCCCCACAATCCACCTCCCCTCCCTCCCTCGCCTTTTATCTTCCACGATTACATGGAAAAAGAAATAACATTTTGCCACAGAACTGGAAAGGAGTAAGCCTGTGCAGAACTTGTTTTCATGCAGGAGATACACAGTGAGAGGTTGAGGTGGTATATACAAAACATTGTATATAAGAGTACACTTGCCTCCGAGAGGAGCCCCGAAGCAACATCCAACTCCAACCGCGCAAGCCGCCACCAGGAGTTCGAGCTGTCTGTACACATTCTGGAACAGAGAGCCCAGCCAGAGAAGGGCATGCCAGGGTTAGAGGGAGCACAGCCACAGGGTTAGTCCCCACATCCTCCAAAATGAAGCAACAGCCAGCAGCAGATGCAGCCGTCTCTGCTATGGTGAGCCAGGCTCTATATACTGCCAGTCTTAGTATAGAAAGCTGGTCTCTAATATGGAGATCTGATCCTTCTGTAGTTATCTTATATTACACAGCCAGTCTCCGCAAGAAGCCAGTCTGCACAAAGCTATATCTATTACAGTGGACCAGTCTCTGTGTAGCAGCATATATAGTTAGCCTCTAGGGACATTGCCAGTCTTATAAACAGCTCATCACTATAATGATTTTTACTGCAAAGGCTGTTTTTACAGCAGGCATATAGACCACTCCTATGATTAGCAGTGCTCTGTGCATGCACGTTCTAAGACAAACTGGTCTTTATGCAAAGCTACTTGGCAAGTCTTTATGCATGATGGGCTATGTCTATACTACCAGGTTATTTCCAAATAAGTTATGTCAAAATAATAACTCCTGAAATAACTATTTCAAAATAAGCTTATTCCTCTTCACAAGTAAGAGTTATTATTTTGAAATAACAAGCCCCTTATTTCAAAATAACAAGCTTGGTAGTGTGGACGTTCACCTTGTTATTTCAAAAGAAGGGGAGTTATTTCGAAGTAACTCCACCATGTAGACAGGCCCATGGTGACTACAATGAGGCAGCTTGTGACTTCAGCACTATTAGAATCCCAGACTTGCCAGCCTGTATTCCTAGCCCGTCTGTTGTGTGGGCCACACACCTGGCTAGTCCTTATAACTTACTGGACTGTGTACCTGTCCACACTCTGTCACGTTCTTTCCCAGAATCGTGGCCAGTGTATGTAATGTACTGGTCTGTAACAGCTTGGCAAACTCACTGTGTTCCCTGTAGCAATAGCCTGCCCCCTCCCCTTCCTATGCTCACCACTGGGGAAGGAACCATTTTGCCTCTCCCAGGAAACAGAGAGCCTCAGGAGAAGAGTACACAGCAGCCTGTGCCTTACCTCATACACACCACAGAAGATTGACATGAACTTGCTGAGCACAGCAGCGCAGATGCTGGCGATGTGCACAAAGGGACCCTGTCAGAGAAGAGAAGGGGAATGGTGATGAGAAAAAGGTCAGTGACGTTGTGACACTGATCTGGGTTTCATAAACTCTCTCTCTGTCTCTCTGGTCATCTTTGTCTCTCCTGCACATTGTGACACTGATGTGGGTTTCATAAACTCTCTCTGTCTCTCTGGTCATCTTTGTCTCTCCTGCACTGAGTTATCTCTTATCGGAGGGTATGTCTACACTACAGAGAAAATTTATATCTGTTATTGGAGGGTATGTCTACACTACAGAGTTTTTTTCAGAAAAACAGCTGTTTTTCCAACAAAAACTTCAATTAGGTCCAGACTACAGTCACATTCTTTCAAAAAAAAAAAAAAATCAGAAGACAAAACGGCTGTTTTTCCAACAAAAATTTCAATTAGGTCCAGACTGCAGTCACATTCTTTCAAAAAAAAAAAAAAATCAGAAGAACAGAGGGTTTTTTTCTGACATTTGTAAACCTCATTCTATGAGGAAGAAGCCTTTTTGGAAAGAGCTCTTTCGGAAAAAGGCGTGTGTGAACAGGGAAGAGGGAATTATTTTTCAAGAAGAGGAAAGAGGAAAAAGCACAGTTGCCCTGGTGGTCACTCGTCCATAGTAATCACAGCTGAAATGCGAGATAGCATCTGTTCAGTGAGGACACTATTTTTCGAAAAAGCAGATTGCTTTTTCGATGCACTTTGGGGCTACATCTAGACTGGCGTGATTTTCCGCAAATGCTTTTAACGGAAAAGTTTTCCGTTAAAAGCATTTTTGGAACAGAGTATCTAGATTGGCACAGACGCTTTTCCACAAAAGCACTTTTTGCGGAAAAGCGTCCATGGCCAATCTAGATGCGCTTTTCCGCAAAAAAGCCCCAATCGCCATTTTCGTGATCGGGGCTTTTTTGCGCAAAAGAAATCTCATCTGTCTACACTGGCCCTTTTGTGCAAAAGTTTTGCGCAAAAGGGACTTTTGCCCGAATGGGAGCAGCATAGTATTTTCGCAAAAAGCACTGATTTCTTATAGTAGGAAGTCAGTGCTTTTGCGGAAATTCAAGCGGCCAGTGTAGACAGCTGGCAAGTTTTTCCAGAAAAGCTGCTGATTTTGCAGAAAAACTGTCCAGTCTAGACACAGCCTGGCAGTGTGTACACTCTCTTTCGGAAGAAGTATTTTTTGGAAGATCTCTTCCAGAAAAGCTTCTTCCGAAAGAAGTCTGCAGTCTAGACGTAGCCTGACTGTCTCCACTCTCTCTAATCACGGACTTATCTCAGTGTCTTCTTTTAACTCTTCCTCTATCAAACCTTTTGCAGAGTCAGGAAAATGGCCACCAGGGGGAGGGGAGGGGCTATGCTGTAGGAAAATTCAGACAGAAAAGCAGAGGAGTGCTGGGGTAAGATGATACCTTGTCCAAAAGGACACACATCTGGAAGAGCAGGCTGCCAGTGAGATCCCCACTTTCCCATGTATGGTGGGGATCATGCTTTGGCCTTCAGTCCTGAGGTGGCAGGGTGACACGCTTTGGCCATGGGGCTTTGGACTCCAGTCCTAGGCTCTGGTTGCATGGCTGCAGGCCCCAGGCTCTGGTGGTGAGGCTTTAGGCTCTATCCAGAGGGAGTTTTAGCCACTTCCTCCCTGGTGCTTCAAGTGCCCAAAGAGACACCTCTACCTGTCTCCATCTCCCTGGCCACCCCTGCACACGCACACAC